CACACACACACACACACACACACACACACACACACACACTCACACTCTTTCATTCTCTCTCCCTCTCTCTCTCTCGCACACACATGCACACACACAAACGCACACACACTCTTTCATTCTCTCTCCCTCTCTCTCTCTCTCTCACACACACACACACACACACAAAAACAGAAAGGTCAGGGGCGTGGAAGGTGGCAATGGGGTCACTTCCCTAATCATCAAGGATGTGAGCTCCGTGGATGGATGATGAGGGGTGTAGTTCACCTGGAATGCCCGCTGCCTTCTTGCAATGAAAAAATTGATTGCCATGAAGGTGATCATCACGCCTATGCCGGCAAGCATCGATATTCCAACAACCTGATGAATCAGCCAATCAAAGCCAGCAGATCAAGCATATGTCAGAGAACAGGTTGCAACCAACAAAATCATCAGAGGGAAGTGGGGAATGTGAGGCATGTTAGCAGGGAATGTGAGGCATGTTAGCAGGGAATGTGAGGCATGTGAGCAGGGAATGTGAGGTATGTGAGCAGGAAGTGGGGACGAGAGGGTCTCTTTGCTGTGATGATGTAAACTTGTTTACCATCCGCCCATAATATGTCTCCAGACTCCCCACAACTTTGTGGTGCAAGACTTTGCAGCACAGTATCACATGAAAAGACGCTCACCTACACCTCAAACTGGAATCAAATTTAACAGATGTGATATATGCATGGGATCGCTTCAGCAGCCAAAGGCGTTGCAGCACTTGCCTGACACTGTCAAAACATGGTGGTGTTTGAATGCATGATAGGCCCAGCACACTCTCTCAATGTGCCAGATATCGTGTTGATTTTTGTACCCAACAAGCCTCACACTGAAGCAATCACAGCTCCCAAATTTTGATCTTGAATCAAAAGATTCAAAACCTGTTTTCAGGTGGAGTTACCAGTGACAGTGTCATGACACATTGACATTATCTGTTTTCAGGTGGCGTTACCTGTAACAGTGCTTTGACGTCTAGCCAGCATGAAATTCAATTCTGAAATCAGGAGAAAGCAGTCTTACGTGTGCCTGCAAGGTCCTATTATCACTCCCAGACTAGATGACCTGTTGCGGCTTCCCTCGCAAAAACAAATATGATAGGTGATGCAAATCATGGTGGAGGCAACTGACCTACGCACTCTCTCTCTCTCTCTCTCTCTCTCTCTCTCTCTCTCTCTCTCTCTCTCTCTCTCTCTCTCTC